GAATGCCGGTGCACTTGGAATCACCTCTCTAGCTGCCCATGTTGATTTGTTCAACCTGGCGGTTATCTTAAGAGCGATCATTGAACAACAAGTTTCGCTGGAGCTCACTGGGGCTTGGAACATTGATTTTTAGCGGTGCTGCCAGCAGAATTACCATCAATTCAAATGATAACGGCCAGTCAGTCATGCTTATCTATCATGCTTTCGTGCTGACTACAATATAATAAGGATTGGGGCCGCATAGCCTACACAAACAGTCTCTGGAGAAAAGAAACCAAGTTAGATACACGCCGATTCAAAACCTCTGTAAAACCGCCACACGCATAAGTTAAATTGATGGTGTTCCACTGAAAACCAAGTGACTTCGGCATTTGTTGACAAACAGATTGCATATACCCTGGACTTTCTCTTTGTCATGCATCGTTGTGCCGCCGACACCTCTAGGCTGTGATCTAATCAATGCTGCTACCCTTTGATAGCCTAATCAACATGAGGGTGCACGTAAGGACTTGGCATCAGCGGGAAAATTGTTGGGTCAGATCCCCTGAATTCGCTTCGCAACAGGCCGATTTGTTGTTCGTCTCTTTTTGTACCGACTTGGGACTGATTTGGACCGTTAAGGTCAATCTGTACGAACACACGAAGGTCGCGGTTTCGGGAAGTGGCCTGCAATCTGCGTGCCTCAAGCCTAAAGATGTAAGCATGCGTAATGTATTACTGAACATTGTGCAACACAGAATAGCAGGGTACTCTGAAGTGACCAATTCGAAAGCGCATCAGGATCGCGCTGGAGTTCATCGTGGTTATCCAGTCCCAGGATCGCTCACTACATCTTAATAACGTCTGCGTTGAATAGGAAATCAGAAGAAATTGCTCTTGACAGATCGTCTAAGAAAACTAACCATGGGCGACGTCCTAGCGTCAATCCTTGTGGTATACCGCGCTCTACCTCAATTACATCTGATAGCGATTTCAGGACTCTCAATTCCATCCCGCTTTTTTGTACAAACTGTCTAACTAACCAAAGCTTGAATCGCCAGTGTCATACTTCCGAAGTTTCTAGTACAGGTATCTAAAAATAAATTACCTTCTTTCTTGCTTCAGGTATCAAGCTATAAAGCTTCCCAGGTAGCTGCACAAAGCTGCGAGCCACCGCAGAACATACATGAACACTGGCCGCTCATGCAGAGGACCATGATCGCTTTCGCACAGTCAGTCTGTGGTCTTATTCAGCATCCTATGAAGGCAAGGATCTGCATGCATTCGCCGTATCTAAATGAACACCCTTTAATATCCCATCGAAGTCTAATCATACTGAAGCTTGTCGTTGCGTCAGTTAACAGCTCAAACAAAGCTTACGTATGCAGTGCGAAGCCTGGTGGTTTTAGCGTGATTCAAATACTGAGCCCACTGCTCTGTCTGACAATACTCGCAAGATATTCCAGCTTATTCGATACGCCGATCAAATGATGCCTGATCACAATGAGATAATTTGCGAAGCTGTTGGTAATCCGATTGCCAATGTACAGAGATGCTTGGATAGATGGACCGAACATTTTCATTCTCACTTCAGTTGGCTCTCCTGGCTCACTTGTTTGCCCTGCGAACAAAACTGCACGCTCTGGCTCGTTGCACATGATCCACCCAGTGAAGCGAAAATGTGCCTTGCGATTCGGTAGTTGAAGCAATTCAAGGCTGCCGGCTCAGGTGGACTTCCTCCGGAGCTGTTCAAATATGCTAGCGCAGTAATCGACAGTCAGCTAACTTCATTGTTCTCCAAAATATAGCTTGAAGAAAAGATGCCTCCTTCCTGGAGCGAATCAGTTATTGTCCCAACTTTTAAGAAGAGCGCTCACACTTTATGCGCTAATCATAAAGGGATCAGCCTCATTTTCGTTGCCTCCAAGCTAATGGCATCCAGTCTACTTCTCAGACTATCGCCAATTCGTGAATCACAGTACCGGGAAGAACAAGCTGGCTACCATTCTGGCCGCTAAATGCTTGAACACCGACACATCTACGGGAGGCCTACCATCGATGCATTCGCAGATATTGGTGCAGCATTCGACGGGTTGATCGAACTACTTTATGTCGTTGCATGCTAAGGAAGAAGGTCCAACAATAGTGTACTGCTGTCCTGCGTCCACTCAAGTTCCACTTCTACGGCTGAATAAAAGTCTTCGGCAAGCTTTCGTCGTCCACCACTGTTAATAGCTGTGAACGAAAGGACTGTCCTATGTCACCGTTCCTCTTCAAGTTTGCGATCGAAGACGTCTTATTGTCAGTACTGAAGCGTTACCAACATTGTGGAGTGCAACTAATACCGAGTAAGCAAATGACCGGCTTAGATTCTGCCGATGACATAGCCCTGCTCGGTGACGAGTAGCAGAGTATGCAAATCATTAGAAACCGTCTGGTGGCTGAGACATCCAAGTACGGAATGTGTTGGCCGTCGAAAGTCAAAGTGCTGCTTCAGGATTGGCACTCGCCCCTTCCAGCGTTTACATTTGACAGCTTTGTCTACCTCGGCGGCTGCGTGTCTGCTAGTGGCGCTATCAGCAAGCAAGTCTCTCCGCGTATCGCCAAAGCAATCGTTTGTCATTGGCATGTCTTCCACTTGGTAAACTGTCGTGTTTACAATGCAACCATTCGGGCGGTGTTGCTACATGTTAGTGAGTTATGGCCAGTTCGCGTAAATGACTGCGCCGTCCCTCGGCCTTCAATGATGGGTGCTTGAAGAGAATTACTCGCGTGAAGTGACAACAAGGTACCTGCAACGGGAAAATCAGACGTCATGTTTTATGCAATGCGAGTAGTCCCTTCAATAAGTTGGCTTTACCATACCAGTTAAGAGGGCTCGGTTGCGTTCTGCCCACAAATCGGCTGAACATTTGTCCCAGCGCACCATAATCGTTCGTACCGAACTCTTCAAGTAGAGACTAGCGGTGGTCAATCATCCACCTGGCGATAACGTAGGAAATAATCGACTTCAAGTCTTGTTGCCGTTGGATGCACACGCTTACCTGCTTGGGGAGTTTAAGATAAAGAGTGTCGATGGATAGAAACAATTCAGGGAATAGTGCATAATCGAACCCATTGGAAGACCCGTGGAATACTTGCTTGGGTTTCGATGCTTAAAGCCCAGCAGTTGAATAAAACATTTAACGGCGTGTAAAATAACTAAATTGTGTTTTGGTCTTCGTGCTGCACCATAGCTAAAGCATTCTGCCCATCAACTAATGTGTCATAATGATGATGATGATGCTACTCTACCTATAATCCGCTAATCTCCATGGTTTTGTTTTGCTCTTTGGCTACTTATTAGTTTGTTCATACTATATATATAACAGAAATCGATGGTCTAAGTGATAAAACCTTTGGAGAAATACAAGTATATGATGTGGACTCCTGCTCTACCGTCAACTGCATCTATCCTGTTACTGCGTGCATGTAGCAGGTTGGTGGTACGTGAGCGATTTTGGGGAAAGCCATGTTGATCCGGAGAACAGCAGGCGCTCTCGAGTTTAGTAACAGCTGATCCTGAATTGACCTGGAACAGCTCGGGCATTGGGATAGCAAACGTAGCTTGAACTTTGCTGCCTCCCATCTCTGCCCTCCACCATGGTTTCTACACTTTTTTCAGCGCTTCAAATAGAAATGCCTGAACTGAGTTTGAAGACTGGACCATGCAGCTAGTCACCAAATCCATTATGAGGTTGGAATAATGGATTTAGCACGGATAGAAAAGCAACTAGTTAACAATTTCCCTGGGTGAAGAATAGAACCAAAAGTGAATGTTTCAAATAAAGTAAAAAAAATAACGCCAAGTTGTGTAATTTCCATGTATATCACTTGTACACCCCGTTTTTTTCACTTTGTCCCGTCCTAGTGATTTGGGTCAAATCACGTTCTGCAAGTGGTCCAACCCATCAACGACTCGAGTTTCTCTGATAAGGACCGTTCAAACACTTTAAAGTCCCCTGTTGGGATTTAAGGTGCTCGAGATGTAAGCGACTAAATGTAAGCGCAAATTGGGCCGCAATTCAGTGTTAACTGGGCTCCGGCCAATGCATTTATTGGGATCGTGTCCAAAGTAGACTGATAATTCCGGTTAAGCGACCATCTTGTTCTGCAATATCACTTCAAGCCTAAATAATTGGACAGTAGGAATTAACCGAAAACTCTGCAACAGATGTGCAAGTGAGCTACTTGTTGTTCCGAAAACAGCCTACGGAACATGCGAACTCCGACCGAAAGGAATCCACAGTGCTCCCAACCCATTTACACTCCTGTTTCAAAATACGAGGGAGGGTGGAAGGGCGAACACAACCACCGGTCTTTGCATGACACGTTCAAGTCAACGCTTCCGAGACGAGGAGATGTGAGTTATCACTAAGCGCGTGAGATGTTCCAACTCACTTCACATCACGGGTACATTTTCTTTTGTCATCAGCACTTTTCTTCGCTTTATATTAACGGTCAATGTGATATAGCTGAAAGTTAATGGACTGAATATCCATGGTGGTGCGTGGGAATTGGACGTTGTAAAGCACAAACTCACCGCGCGTTCAATAAGAGGCAATGCTTCCGAGTAAGTTATTAGAAGATCGGCAATACAGCTGTCTCTGCACCAATAATGAACGATGATTTAATCATGCAAGTGCGTTGAATCCAAACGCCTAGTTAGTGAAGGCGAGACAAATGTGGAAACTAAAGGACCCATGGTAAGTAAGCATCTATAATCGTTGGATGAATAGGCCATGCAGTGTGTACGCAGCTACGATTGCCCTACTAAGATCGCTGACCAAAGAAGAAGCCAATGCAGGAAAAAATTGCAAGTCGAGACACCTAATTTGTGTGTGATAAAAGATGCTCCTCTTTATTATCTATGTCTTGAAGGGTAAAAGCTGGCTCGCTTAAATTTAGCTCACTCTATCAAAGCAAACTCAGTAAGACTTTTCTCATAGTATCAGACGGCTAAGTGACCCAACACAACAGAATGCTTGCAGAGGCAGTACGATATTATGAATGGTAATACATCACAATTGTTAAACATCCACACAATACAACACCGAAATAGTTGGTTACAATCGTGTGGCCAAAAGCAGTTGGCCCTTTGGCACAGTAGAATTGGCATAATAGATAGGTACACAAGCATCCAACCGTACAAATATCGTAACAACTGTAGAGTCCCTGCGTATGCGGATCGATACTTTCAGCAAGTGAACGGTGAGTGATGTAAACAATACGGTAGATTCAAAGAAGGAGTTCTCGAAATGCACTGAGCGGTAGAGATCAGATTAACATCATACATTGGAATCCATGGCTACGTCAGGATGCAAGTGGCTGTACGGTCCTTGGTATTGCCTGTGTAGTGATCCCGATGGCATAGGTTCAGCGCGAGCGTGCTGTTGGTACAACAAAGCGGAATTCGAAGTTCCAGTTACGCCTGAGTCCGCTGCCTTCATTTTCGCGGCTAGTACAGCAGCCTTCTGTGCTTCCAACGTCTGACGCAGCTTGGCAGACACCGTTGCTGCAGAGGTCCCTTGAGCTGCTGCACCAATTGCGCCGGGCGCCACAGTTCCTCGACTAAGCGCACTTGATGCACCAGGAGCAAGAAAAGTGCTTCCAGGACCAAACAGCGAACCAGTCTGCGGCACTGTGAACAGAGATGGAACTCCGCCCAATCTCGAGTCTGTTCCCGGTCCAATATCGAAGCCAGATGTTGATTTCAAGTGGGTCGATTTTGCATCTGATCCCAACAACTTTTCACGCACACTAGGATCTTCCATCAGAATACGGCTCTCGACGGATAGGTGATGCGTTACTAATCCAAAGAGACAGAACACAGAAAAGAATCCCGATAGGACGACGAAAGCGAAGCTCCAAGAGAGTCTGTTGTGATCAGAACGAGGCATCCATTCTCGATCTTTACTCATTGCGCCCATTGTGACTATCACCACTATGATGCAGGCAACTGTGAAACGGAAATATAAACGAGGACATTTTGATGGAAACTAGAGCACTAGTTGACTAAGGAGTATAAACCAAAGCGCCATTGCAAGTATAGCGTGTTAAGTCTACAGAAAAATATAAACCCTACCCAATATACTTCATCTCAAATTAAGTAGAACAAGGGATGTATCGATGCATTAGCTATAGCACTCACACAAATGGAAAAACTAGTTAAATTGATATGTCGTAATGGTAGACTGTTAATCGATCACTGATAATACCTAAGAAGAAGATAGAAGAAAGCACGTAACTTCGAATGAGGACGACTGTCTGGACTGAGTGTCACTGTTCGTCAGAATCCACCTACCGTTATACACAAGAGTCACAGGTCGCCGATAACATAGCACAACACTGGTGACTTTCATCCCATGTGGGATGATTTCAGCTGCGTCGATGAGTTAAGCGTACCAGATGATGTGGTAAATGAAATCGTCCTAGTAACATCTGTAGACCTTTTGTTAATGCTAAAGGACTGATCCTCCAACTGAATCATAACTATAAACATCCTGTCAAACACTTGAAGCACATATATATGATTTCTGTAGAAGTTCTAAGATTCACAAATCCAGTGTGAAAATCAACTCTGGGTCCTTGTCCCGAGACCAGACATCAGGCTACGGGGTCGCGTTCATTAAAAAACTCATGGAGCTCCACCATGTAAGCTTATGTAGTAAGCGTCCAGCCGAGGGTTCGGATGGCTTAGTTGCACAGAGCATACGTAGGTCGCAATAGATCGAGGTAGCTAAAACTCCAAAAAGATACTACATAGGCGGGTGGATTGTTTCGTCAAACCACCTAGCAAGAGTCGGAGCTGGATGGAGGGTGCAGCTGATTTATACCTCGTGGTGAGGTGGACGGCGTTGTCACAGGTGACGATGGAGGGCTGAGCCTGAGCTGACAGGATGTATTGCATGAAGACGAACCAGAGATGGCTGCTTCAACAATACCGTAAAAGAAATGAGAAGGCAAAGAGAAAAGGAAACGACAATGTCAATCTAGGTTAGACACGGGGATATTTTACCTGTTGGAATAATTAATCCTCACACACGCGTGACGTGCGTGCTACTGGTTCATTTGGATTATTCCCCTCTATCCTCTCTCCATCTTCTCGCAGCGTTTTCACTGTACGCTTATTCGAACCGGATTTACCAGCTCTACACAGTGATCCATCATACGTGGAAATATCTTCTACGATTAGAGGCTGTGCCATCACTAACCGTTTTCACTGATATCTGTGATTAAACGCAAGCGTTTAATTCAATCATATTGAGCCGATTGCCTTTCTGTGTGACACCATTCCATACAGAATTCTTGAGGCAGGCCGAAAAGCCTACGCTTACTCCGATCCAGTGATTATCAACACAGCTGTGAAAGAATCTGTGTTCAGCGCTCTGTTCAGGTTGCAGTCACTCGCCATTCCTTGTGACCTTGTCAGCCAATGCGGCTGCATAACCCATCACACGGACCGCGCGACCACGCCGACCGCTCATTTGAGCTTGCAACCACCACGCTCGCCTGACCGATGTGCGCCGCTCTCAAGGCTGTAAAAGTACAGAACGCTAACCAACCCACTGGGTCAGGTAACCACACCAAATTGAACGGCAGAAAGGCGAAACCGAAGAGACTCCCATGGAAAGGCATTTGCGGGTTATGAGAATGTCATCGGGTAGTAAAAATCGGTCTGGCTTGTTCGCACTGTTTGGAATGGTGCCATACGAAATGTGCAAATGTGTCCCAACAACAGTTACGGGAGCGAAATAGCTCCCAAGATGCATTTTGGTTCTGTACTGCATGTTCCACCATCCCCTTCGTTAAGTGATTGCTTATAATAGCTGAGAAATGCGACCGGTTAATCGCAGAAGCAGAGGATAAACAATAAGATTACTTCAATGGAAGCGAGCATGGACCACAGAAGCGTAGCGGCTGCTAAGCAACGGAATGCTGAACAAATCGCTTCCCCTGCACCGCAATCAGCCATGTCTCCATCTCCGTTGTCTTCTCCAACTTTGGTAGAACGCCGGGCAAAAACAGACTGTACCTACATGAATCAAACAGTACTCACAGCAACGAAAATCAGGCACCATTCAACACGTCTGGTTAAGCGAATTCCACTAGAACTGACACCTAGCATTAACAAGGATGAAGCAGCCAAACACCAACCCTTGGTACCGGTAGCTCAAATATCTCTTGTCGAAACTAAGCCTCCCAGAACATCGGTTAGATATGCAGAGATTGCTGCAACGGTCCACCGAGAGGCCGCCGTTGCGTCCTCTTCCATTGTAAACACCGTTAACGCAAATAGAGAGAAAAAGAGCAAACAACCACTTGTCAACAAGTCAGGACAAATGAGTACCATGCCTTGTAGATCGCTGAAAAAGAAACCCAACAACAGTGCCCGGACTGTTGTATGCTCAAATGTCCCTGAATCTACTGCCATCACATTGCGGGATAAGTTATCAGACGACCAAGACCAATGGAACTCATTGTGTATTCAGATGAGTATCAGAGCCAAGCCCATAAACTTGTTACGAATTACTTGTCATCCGAACTCGTCACACTATGGTGAACCCAGACTTATTCGAGTAACTCTAGAATCCTCCACCGACGTGGAAAATGTTTTGCTCTCCGCAAGCGCGCTAAAACACGAATCCTGTGGGATACGTATCTACCCTGATGTCCCTTGGAGCGCGCGACAACCAAAACGAAACACCGAAGAGGGGCACAGCAAGCAAGACCGCCTAAACGCTATCTTCATACATGGCGTGCCAGAGCATCATTCTAACAATGTTCAAGAGACCGGAAAGCACGATTTAGAACAGTGGTTTATTCGCGAAACACTTTCTTTGGATAATGTTGTGGCACTACCGCTCACCAGGATACCTCTCTCACCAACTTATAGAGGATGCGGCCCTAGAATCCTAAAACTTGTGGTTCAGTTAGAGCAACAAGCAAAGGATATTCTAGAACGATGGTGGAGAAATCGGAAACATCTTTCTTCAGAAATTCGGTTAAAGGTCGCAAACACTTTGCACAGCTAAAATATTAAAGCAACTGAAGCAGCAAGCATACTGACGAATGTACAAAAGCATAACTTGACTGCTGCTTTAATTGACTCTGACGTAGGTCTAAACGAAGCGTGGGACGCGCCTTGGCCGAATCAAGTAGCAAACGAGGTATCATTGACCCACCAAAAAAACGAGCAACTGCCGACCTCCCATCGGTCGGCATTCTCCCATACTTGACAGCTTCACCTTTCTGCGGGCTCCTAGAGACCGAGAAACTGGCCTGCTTGTATACAAATGCTCAGGGACTTTCTAACCAAATGGCTGAACTGAAAGATCGCTAAGCTTCCGGCTCGTATGATGTCATGGGTACCACCGAGACATGGTTGCACACCGGAATGACGGACGCTGAAGTTTCGCTACCGGGCATGTCGCTGATCCGGAACGACAGGCTCACACAAGGAAAAGGGGTAATCCTGTATTACCGAAACGACTTACAGTGCGAAGCCGTGGAGGATTCAGACTCGCAGTTCCCCGACTCTCTTTGGTGCCGATTGCATTTAAAATGCAGGGACGCTTGCCTTGTCGTCTTGAAGTACCGCGCCCCTAACTCAACACCCAAAACCGACTACCACCTAACGGCCGCTTTAAGGTGCAGTTAACAACAAAAGTACACTCACATTCTTATCATGGGTGATTTCAACGTACATTGTTTAGAAGCCCCTGCCACGATCGGAGAACAATTCAAAACCGATCTACAAGATCTAGTAACTACTGTTCCGCTTTACAACCACATCACTTTGCCCACTCGGTTCAGAACTGGTAACAGGCCATCTGTGCTAGATCTTGTGCTTACCAACGAGGAGCATATGATTGATGCATTGGTTTTAGACTGCCCGCTAGGTCGCAGTGACCACGCAGTTATCAGTTGCAACTTAGTCTGCTATGCAGATTATCTGAATGAGTAGGATGAGACAGTGCGAACCATCACAAGGTACGACCGACTCGCCCAGCTAGTCAACGGCACAACATGGTCTTTCCTCGAAGAAGAACCCCCGGAAGTCGCCTGGCTCGAGTTCGACAACACATTCAGTCAGCTGACTTCGTGGGCTTCAGAGATAAAAGCTTGCAATAAGTGCAAATCAGTTTCTTTCATTAGGAGCAGAACCAGAAAATGGATGACAGTACGCAACGCAGCATGGCGAGTGTAGAGAGAAGCTCCAGCACCAGAAACTGGGGACAACTACCTATCCCAACGTAACCACTGCACTAAACTGTTAAGAGGAGACAAATCCGCTTATCAGCAGAACATCGCAAAAACCTTCCGTGCTAACCACAAACTGCTGTACAAGCAAGTTAATAGTCTAGGAAAGATGAGGCAAGTATTTCCTCCACTCAAGACGGCTGGTGGCCCAACAAGAACATCTATGGAAGCAGCAAACGCGCTGCAGATGCAATATGCCCCCACGTTCCAAAGAGTCTTGCCACCAAGCGATTTACCAAATTTTGTCTTCTGCTCGCCAGGACTAACCTACATCAATTTTACTGCAGAGGCTGTATTGCAAAAGTTGACTTCTCTACGCAAACACAGCTTACCGGGTATCGACACCATTTGTCCAGAGGCATTGGGAGCAGGAGCAAACCAACTGGCAGGACATTTAGCTCAGTTTTTCCAGCGCTGCTTAGACCAGAACCAAGTTCACGTCATGCGGAAGCTTGGAATAATAACCCCCATTCAAAAAGGTGGAAGCAGAACTGATCCCTCCAACTACCGCCCAGTAACCCTTCTTCCTATACTCTCCAAGGTCATGGAATCCATAGTTGCCCATGCACTGGTGTGCTATCTGGAAAACTGCAACCCCATCACTCCTGAACAGCACGGTTTCCGTCGACAGCGGTCATGTACAACGAATTTACTAATTGCACGCAGTGGTTGGACCGAGGCAGCTGACGCTGGAGA